CATTATGCCAGGAGTTGGTCACTAGTCAAAGGTCCCTACGTGGCTGGGCTCTGCCCATGAACACAATCAGTGTCTACTGCTTTGACTGAAACAGGTCGTGAGTCAGGCCAATAGTTCATTCAAGTCAGAAAATCAGAAACAGATTTTTTTTAAACAAACAAATCTTACTCTGATTTTAGTAACACTGCAGTTAGCCTAGGGTTTGTTTACACTTTCAGTACAAAGACCTGTAGCGGAGTATTTCCACACTGATAGCACACACTGGATCATATCAATGTGTAAATGAAACACCCAAAGAATCTGGAAGGTTTTCTGCAGTTTAATAACTAAAACAAACAACTGAAACTAAAACAAAGGAACACCCAGGTATTAGTCTGAAAGAACAAAGACATCGAAAACTTATCAGTGAGAGAATGTGAGACGGAATCATTAACAAACCCTCTTAGAATGCGGTGAACTGATCTAAGATGGCGTGGGGACTGGTTTTATTAATCTGGATGTTTTGATTAATGGACGAATCAAAGTTGGCAGATTTATAAACACCACAGAGACCATGCCACGCTTCAGAAAGGAAAGTTCCGATTGGATGAGTAAAAGCAATGTGTCATGCATTTACATTACGTGTTGTCAGAATGTCTAGTGCAACCAGATTAAAGTCATATTACTTCTTATATTCTGTAGGATTATAATATCAAGCAATTAATATTTTCATTTCACAAATTGGTTCACATTTTATTATTGGACTAACACTTCTTTTGATTAGCTTATTAAAAATAGAGTTCTTTGAGTTATTAAAGAAAGAGTCCTTTGTCTTCATTCTTCTCTTGGGCTGGTAAGGAAAGCAGTTTAGAAGCAAATGCATGAGACCTTGAGGCAATCTCATACAGATTAGTTCTGTGTCAGAGGCATCTGAGGAGAGAGGGTAAATAACCTTCGGTGGAATAGCCCCTTCATCACGTTACACATAAAAGTTTTTATTTTCCTGCAACTAAATTACCAACATAAATAAAGTTGGGCAAAACAGCTGCACTTACTCCATTTGTACCGCCTACTCACCTGCCCGGAAGTGCCACCTTCTAGCCTGGCTAAGGGTCCTACTTACTGTCGACTATATGAACATACCTATACTGTATTGTAACAGTCTAATAACTAGTTCAAGCTAAACATTTAAGACATAGAACTACAGTTACTGTAGGTACATAAATATTTTTCGGACATCAACACAATATGATACAACTGCAGATTTTCAGCTTTAATTTGAGGATTTATTTTATTTTTGTTTGACCTTTATTTAACAGGAATGGGCCAATTGAGATTAAAAACCTCTTTTCAAGGGAGTCCAGGAAATGTATATCCAAATCAGGTGAACATTGTAGGAATTATAATATATGTACCTTCCAACTGTTAAGGGACCAAAAGTAATGGGACAAAATAATAATCATAGAGCAAGTCTTTACTTTTTATTACTTGGTTGCAGAGGTGTGACCAAGTCACTGCTTTGCAAGTCACAAGTAAGTCACAAGTCTTTCCAGTTGTTTCGAATCAAGTCCAAGTCAAAGACAACCAAGTCCAAGTCGAGTCTAAAGTCAATGATGTGGAAGTCCAAATCAAGTCCAAGTCCTTGAAGGGACTTTACGGAGTTTTGAATTTTTATGCTCGTGATTGCCCCCTCAGGCCAAAAGTGTAATGGCAGCTTCATTAGTAGGCTCGTGAACGAGGCACGCATGCGTACGTGCACACTCCTTAATGAAAATAACAGCTGAGGTAGTCCCGTGTGTGTGTGTGGCCCGGAGGACAGAGGACAGGAGAACATGCAGCTAATTAATTAAATAATTTGGTTCTGTACCTTTCTCTTCAGCACAGCTGACAAAGGTTTATGATGGGTCAGTTTTCCTGCATGCAGATCATGCCCTTCCTTTGCTTGAAAAATTGTTCCAAAATGAAAGTTGAACCCACATCTTTTTTATCTGTGAATTCAATGCCGTTCGGCGAGTCTCAAATAAAAATTTAGGCATCTTACTGTAAAAAAAAAACATTAATGTAAATAATAAACTCTAAACAAATTATGTTCACATCGAGAATCAAACCCAGGTGTCCCTGCATGATAGTCCATCATCTTATTAGATGAGCTAAAGCACCAGTGACATCTTTTGTATCTGTAATATTTGTATCCTTGATGACAGCTGAAACGACGTTCGGAGAACGGTTCGGAGCAAAAATGGCTATTTTGTTGCTAATTTGCAGGAAATATTTAGAAGAAAGTGGCTAAGGGTCCTCAGAAATGTAGCTAGGTTCATCACTAGGCGTTAGGAACAGCAACAAAGTCGCTGAGTTGGCACTACCTCTCTCTCTGCTGCTAAAGCTACGGATAGCAAATGCTACGGGCTACGCCTGAGCGTGAACGCGCATGAAGCAGCCTGCTCGGCCCGAGCAGCTCTCTTTTTTTGTGATTTTACAGAAAAACAGGCAATCACAGTAAAAATGCCAGGGCTCATTCTACAGGACCAGGGCATTGCAGGAGAATGTATGAAGAAGACATTTATTATTTCTATACATGTTTTGGCTGTCAAACTTCCATAATGCCCCTTTAACTTTGAATTTTCAAGTTATAATCAAGTCATCTGTCCATTTTCAATTTAATGACAATGATGACAAATAAATTCTAGAAATAAAGCTTCTTAAAGCTTAATTTATTTTCTCAAACAAGCAGGAAGTGCAACTGAAACCGATTATAAACAAAGTGCTGCTGCATTTAACAGAACAAGATCAAACCCAGAACCAAGAATGATTTATGGTTTTTGTCCATGTCATGCCACTTTTGTGCTAAAATATCAAAAATTCTCGTCATCATCAAGTCAACAGATACAAGTTTGATTCAAGGCGCAAGTCATTAGTGTTCAAGTTCGAGTCAAGTCGTAAGTCTTTATAGATTTTATCAAGTCAAGTCAGAAGTTAATAAATAATGACTCGAGTCTGACTCGAGTCCAAGTCATGTGACTCAAGTCCACACCTCTGCTTGGTTGCAAATCCTTTACTGTCAGTTACAGCCTGAAGCCTGGAAGGCATAGACATCACCAGACGCTGGGTTTCATCCTTGGTGAGGCTCTGCCAGGCCTCTACTGCGACTGTTTTCTGTTCCTGCTTGTTCTTGAGGCATTTTCCCTCAGCAAGTGAAGTACAGTTTCTATGTGAACAACACATCACAAGGGGGAGCATCTAACTGACTGTCCATATCCACCAGTCTAAAAGATGTACAATATTTATAAAATTGCTCTTTGGTCCTGGCTCATGAAGTTATCAATGTTACTTTCATAAAAGCTCAAATTTACTGTTCATATGAGCTGCTAATGTGCTTATCTCTGTTATCAGTGGCTTGGACAGCGTGTCATGTTACCAGGTGGTGTCTCTGATGCGATCTCTGGCACTAGGAGGACGTACAATCATCTGTACCATTCACCAACCAAGTGCCAAACTGTTTGAGATGTTTGACAAGGTGTGTGTCCACAAAGGTCCAGTAGAAACTGAATATTTAGCCACCAATATGTAAATATCCTTTCAACAAGTGCCTTTATTTTTTGCTTTTTTACAGCTTTACATCCTCAGTCAAGGTCGGTGCATCTACAAAGGCTCAGTACCGTACCTCATTCCCTACCTGAAGACTCTCGGCCTCCACTGTCCCACCTACCATAACCCTGCAGACTTCAGTAAGTCAACTCCTCATTCACACCCCCACATACGCACAAACACACAGCTCTGAAAGAGTGTGTGTGTGTGCGTCTGTGTGCGTGCGTGCGTGTGTGTGTGTGTGTGTGTGTGTGTGTGTGTGTGTGTGTGTGTGTGTGTGTGTGTGTGTGTGTGTGTTTGGGGGGCATCTCCTGTTGTTAGTTTACTGTCTTTAATTCTCTGATTTAGTCATTGAGGTGGCATCAGGAGAGCATGGGGACTTGAACCCAGTGCTGTTTGAGGCAGTCCAGGGTGGAATGTTTGCATTGGAGGAGAAGAAGAACCACTGTGACAACGGCACAGTAGTTTGTCCAGATAAGTATCCACTGGTATGTATGAAATTATCCTGTCCGAGCACAGTTTGCCACATTACCAGCTGGACAAAGTCAGTCATTATCTGTGGTCATCTGTTAAAGCTGTTATAGCAAATCTGCAAACAAGCTGTGTTTAAAACGCAAAACCAGTCATGGATCACTCACCCCTCCCCTCGGATATTTTCCCTGGATCTGTATCCATCGGAATTGGAATCCCACATTTTCAAGAAGAAAGGAGATAGTGCTAAACAGCAGTTTCTATTTTCTAGGTCCAAACATCTTTTGTTGTCTGTGACCTCAAATGGTGTTTTTCTTTTTGGGGCTCTGGTAGTTTGTCCGAAAGCTGAAGTGTGGCAGCTGGCTGTTTCATCTTCTCTGATATTATTGAGATTATTGAGTGGAGAATCTCTCACACCAGTGGTGTTCTGGTGCTGAATACACGAGTGTGTAATGAGTGGAGGACCCAGGGAATTGTAGCGGTTCAGCAAGATCAATAACCAGATGGTACAGCAGTTGCTTCTGTGTTATTGATGGAGATTTCTAGACAACTGAGAGAGAACCGTTTTATTTCCACAATGTATTTACAGCTATACTATGTTAGAATGTTGTTGAGAGGCACGAAAAAGTTGTTTTAAGCTCATTTGTTTTCCAAATTTGCTATTGCAACTTTAAAGCTGCAGTCTGGAGTGTCTTTTATCGACTGCACCATCTAGTGGCAAACAAATGTATAGTGCGTTGTTTTCATTTCCATATTTACAACCCAAAGCAACGCCTCTTTGTGAACATGTACCTCTAGCGGTCAAAGAGAGTCAGTTATTTTCTCATGTTGTTTATTCGTATAAATATTCATATTTTAAAGACTTAGAGAAAGGTTGCTAACTCTGCATTTGTCTAGGAATGTCCTCAAATGCTCACGCACACTCTGTGACTGACATCCAGAGGCGCACAGGTAATCTGTGAGTTCTGTAGAGTCCCAGAACAGCTGGTGGGTGTGCTTCGGGCATCGTTGCACACAAACACACCCACGTTGTTACCTGCTGTTACCTTTTGTTGCAATTTCAGAAATCTTTCCTTGCCTTGCTTTTCCATCATTTTATCCAGCTGGTTCATTTGTTCACGATAAGAAAAGGAGAAGGCCATAGTTCCATGTAAAGTAGGGAATAAGTTGGTTAAAACGTATGATCTGTGTCTGAGGAAGAGACACTTGTGTAGAAATGTTAGTTTTGCTTGTTCCAGAAATAAATGTATTAGCCTTGCTACTTTGCTGATTTCACATCCTACTTCTGTGCAGCACCTTTAGCAGTTTTTTGTTTGGATTATGAGGAGAGCGCTATGAATCAAGAGTATAATCTGTGTCTGAAGGTACATAAGTGTGGTCTCTGCTGCATTTAAAACTGGTTTCATTCTGTTGTTGAATTTCTGCATTCTACATCTTGTGTGCCTCTCAGAAGAAAACAGACAATGATGTCAAATTAACATTGGTGTGTTACAGAAATCTCAGCACATAGAGAGCCATTCTTTTGCCACAAGCACACTCACACAGTTCTGCATTCTCTTCAAGAGAACCTTCATAACCATATGTCGAGATCAGGTTGGTGACCTCACAGAGATGAAATAAAGACAGCTTCATGTCAAACTTTCAGAAGTTTAATCAGTCTGACCCTTGTTTAGGTTTTGACCCACCTTAGATTGATGTCCCACATCTCTATCGGCGTTATAATAGGCTTGCTCTATTTGAACATTGGGAATGATGCAAGCAGGGTGTTCAACAACACTGGATTTCTCTTCTTTTCTATGCTCTTTCTCATGTTTGGAGCACTCATGCCAACTGTGCTGACATGTGAGTATCATACAGTAATTTCTCAATTTTTGGCACATTTTTGGGATAACAAGTAATGTCAAACTTCAGCCTCCTTATTCACAAGCTGGTGTATTGTTCTATGTGTAAACATATGATCCAACAGTTCCTCTGGAGATGTCGGTGTTCCTGAGGGAGCATCTGAACTACTGGTATAGCCTGAAGGCCTACTACCTGGCCAAAACTATGGCTGACATCCCATTTCAGGTGAGCTGGATCAACCTGACAAAGCTGTAAAACTGAGGTCAAGGGTTTGGTGAATGACTCAAATATCAGTTGAAGCAACACTTAATAAGTTTCTCACTTCTCTATGGTTGAAAGTGGGGTTTCTTCTTCTTTGTATTCTTCTTGCATTTGAAAAGAAGATGGCCAAGGAGATTGACTCATTCACAGTTTAGTCTCAGAACATCCGTGAATGAAGAATAGTACCAAACATCCTACCAGAGAACCTCCTTCAACCATTCAACAAATGTTAATTAATGAACAACATCTTCGCCAGCATGATGGAGCACTGGGCCAAAAGGCTAAAGTCAGAACTAAATCAGGAACAAAGCATCAACACGTTGGGCCCAGGGCCCTCATTTATCATACATTTGTAGAAAGTGTCCTATTCCTTCCTACAAATGAAATTTAACGCTTATACACAAGTGCTAAATCCTGATTTATGAAACATGCTGTGTCCTCTCGTACGCATGTTCCTCCAATCGACCATTGAATAATCCCAGCCTATATGATTATTACCCTGGGCACTCACCCCGGTAATCATGAAATTAAAGTTTAAAAGTTAAAGTCCCATCAGTTGTCACACACACTGATGTGTGTGAGAAATTTGTTCTCCACATTTGACCCTTCCCCTGGGGGAGTGGTGAGCTGCAGACACAGCTGTGCTCAGGAACCATTTGGTGGTTTTACCCCCCCCCCCCCCCCCCCCCCCCCCAATCCAATCCCTTATTGCTGAGTGTCAAGCAGGGAGGCATTGGGTCCCATTTTTTTCTAATGGGCCATTCCCATCTGTACTGGGTCGGCCCGGGCCGGGTAACCCCAGTTGGCCCCAGCCTGGCCCGGTTGATTCCACACATCTTTGCCTTAAGCCCATGTGGGCTGATTCTACCCACCAATCAGAGGCTTTCTCTAATGGAAGGTGTGAATTTGCTGTCAGCAGTGGGTGTGTTGGCCCTGGTCGGCCTGAAGCAGACCCCCTCGAGAAGAGGGCTGAGAATGAGCCTTGGTTGGCCCGGAAAAATACCAGGCCACCCAGATATGTAAACAACCTATGCTACCCGGCCCGGGCCGACCCGGTACAGATGGGAATGGCCCATAAGTCTTTGGTATGACCCGACCAGGAATTGAACCCTGATCTCTCAGTCTCAGGGCGGACACTCTACCACTTGGCCACTGAGCTGATGAAGTTCTTTGAGAAACTAGTGTGCCAACACATCAAAGTCTATCTCCCCCAGGACAAGTTTGCCTACCACTCAAACAGATCCACAGACGCCATCCCCATATCCCTCCACTCTGTGCTGAGCCACCTGGAGCAGCGGCAGAGCTATGTCCGGATGCTCTTTGTGGATTACAGCTAAGCTTTTAACACAGTCATCTTTTCTGCCGGCGTCTCCTGGACAGACAACATCACAGCTGTGATCAAGAAGGCTCAGTAGCAGCTATACTTCGTGAAGGTCCTCAGGAAGCACAACCTAGACTCCAACCTGCTACTGACCTATGCATTGTATGGTAAGGCAGCTGCACCATGGCAGACAGGCAGGGGCGTCGGACTGGGGGGGGAAAGGGTACCGTTTACCCAGGGCCCACTGCAGGGAGGGGCCCTGAGACAGCTTTGAATAAAAATGTTTTATTGTTGTTGTTTTTTTCCCCCAACTTACTTAATGTCTTAATAAACTTCCCTTTACCTGGATAAAGGGGTTAAGAAACTGAATTTTGCCTTAAAAATAATAACTGAATAATCTCTGAGGCATCTATCACCCCTTAAAAATGTGCAAAGTGGTTTAGTCCACACCAGCGGCCAGGGGCTGCACGGCCGCATGTACAGCTATGAGACATCGCAGATGCCGACAGCCAGAGCTGGAGGCAGGAGAGTCAGTCATGTCTTTTCCCAAGAAAGGGAAATCTGGCTTCCAGAAAAGAAAAGAAAAGAAAAGAAAAGAAGGAGAAGGAGGAAAAGTTAATTGAACAGAAGCAAGTAGAAGGACGGTGAGCAGCAGCAGCAGAACACAGTTTTAGCTGATATTAGCTAGCTGTCAGAAGCTGCATTCATGTTAGGAGTTCAGTGTTAAACGCCTTTAGTTTCACCATCAAGATCAAATATAAATTAATTAGTGTTATCAGTGAAAACACTAATTAATATATATATATATATATATATATATATATATATATATATATATATATATATATATATACATATATATATATATATATATATATATGTATATGTCCGCCAATTAATTCGCGGACCTCGCAGTAAAAACAGGTTCACTCTGTGTGGATATTTCAGCTCCTTCCCAGTCATGGACCAGGACAAACTTGGTATCGATGGATTCGTGGTAATCTCAGGAATGAGAAGCTGCCACTGTTGTTCGTATAGCATGATGACACTGGTGTTAGAGGATTGTTATTGACTTGGTTAGATATTTTAAGCCTATTTTAAATTTCTTTATATTTGATCATGAAAACGGACAATCTTATAATTTGGCTGATAATGCAGGGATTATAAAATTTAGAGTACATTACATTCACAGAGAGAACCTGGTTTATTTCATGTCATATGTATTTAATATATCAATATATATCAGCAAAGCTTAACATCATGAACCATGACAGACATGACTGAAGAGCAGATGAAGATATCATGCCAGGCACTGATGAGAAAACATTACAAGGATCTCACAGCTGAATTTGAGAATGAGATGCTACACCTGAGAACAATATATGGTGCCACATTTCCACACATTCGGTCTCCTCTTGAGCTGCTTAATGCTATCTACAGGATGCAATTACAGAGCATTTTTGGAGAAGTTTGTATGGGACTGAGGATATTTTGCACACTACCTGTGACTGTTGCTGGGGGTGAACGGGCTTTTAGCAAACTGAAACTGGTGAAAAATTATTTGAGATCAACAATGTCCCAGGATAGACTGAACATCCTAGCTCTTCTTTCTATTGAAAGCCAATTAGCCAAAGGATTGGACTTTAAAGATCTCATAAGTGATTTTGCTAACATGAAGACCCGTCAGTGGGCATTTACTGGAAAATAAATTCCAGGATTTTTGTTTGAACACATTGTTGGCAAATAAAAATAATTATATGTGAAGTCTGGGCATTTCACTTTTATTATGCTGGCATTTGTATTTGCTCAATATAGAGGTTAAACTAAGATCATATTTATTATCTTGTCTTATAGCATGACAAAAAATGTGTAAGAGAGATAAAGTAATTGAGCATGGGGCCCACCTAGAAGACTTGTACCTAGGGCCCAGAATTTGGTGCTACGCCCCTGCAGACAGGAAGAGGTTTCAGACAGATTTAAATGCAGCAAGGAGGATCATCGACTGCCCGCCACCCTCCCTAATGGATATTTACACCTCCCACTGCCTCGACAGAGAAAAAACATAATCAAGGACAGCTCCCACCCTGGCTGTGACCAGTTTGACCTGTTGCCCTCCTGGAGCTGATACAGATGTGTCACAACCAGGACAAACAGGCTCAAGAACACTTTTTTTCTGAAAGCCATGACCATCTTAAACTCAAACATGCACGGACACCCAACCTCATGTCTCCCATCTGCCCATCAATCTGTGCAATATCCAATATGTGTATACCCAACACATTCTCACTCCCAGCGCGTCAAAAACAAATGATTGGTCAGCCACCCTCTGCGTCAGACCCCTGACGCCAAAAGTGCCCTTTTTCGTCACTTATGTGCGAAAAGGGGTTTTTCCCTTTTCTGACTGCAGATCCCAATGCAGCGTAAAACTGACGCGATGGGATGTCAGCAGCCAGGGCACCAAACAAGCTCATTGTACCTCACCCTAACCTTATCCTCTTGTTATTTAACCTTCCCCTCACCCGTATTTTAACCTCAACCATCTCATTAGCTAACACGTTAGTGATGTGTCAGTCGCTCTAAAAGCCGGCTATATGAAGTGAACGGCGGGAGCCGCCTCGTCATTGGTCGAGTTTGGACTGAGGCAATGCGAGGGGGAGGTTTCAACTACCCAGGTGGAGGTTAAAAGTAGAGTGCATTTGTAACCTCCCCCTCGCCAGATGGTGCGGAGGTCACCACTGGCCACTAGGGTGTGCTGTAATCAAACCTCGAGGGAAAAAGGTGTATTCAGGGATGTGCCTGAAGTCACGTACATGTGACTATCCCTGACTGTATATACTGCTGCTTCTCATTTGGATTGCTGCTGCTCAACCATCACATTGCTGTCTATCCATGCTACTGTTCGACTTGTATCTGTAAGTCTTCACCTGCTTGTTAAGCTAGTTCAAGGATTGTTCACATTGTCAGTATGCATGCTAAGCTGCGCTGCATTTATTGACCTATTTTACTGCATTGCTTAGCTTTGGCCTTCAGCCCATGCTGCTGCTTCACGCTGCTGTTATTCTGTTCACTCAGCTTTGTATGTCGCCGCAGGGCTCCTTCCTCCTTGTCAATAAAGCCATTAGACATTGAGGAGCGTATTTCTTCAGATGGTATGTTCTAACATTCCCCTTGGGCGGCAAATTTGAAAACTCAGTCAGAATGCATGGGAAACAAACGCTTGATTACAGTGAGAGTAACGTTTTAGGTAGCAAGAGGGTTAAGGTTAGGATGAGGACGAGGGGAAGGTTATAAATAGCAAAACGTTAAAGTTTAGGTGCGGTTAAATGAGCTGGTTCGGTGCAGCATCAGCTGACATCCCATCGCGTCAGTTTTACGCTGCATTGGGATCTGCAGTCAGAAAAGGGAAAAACCCCTTTCGCACATAAGTGACGAAAAAGGGCACTTTTGGCGTCAGGGGTCTGACGCGGAGGGTGGCTGCCCAAGCGTTTGTTTTTGACGCGCTGGGAGTGAGAATGTGTTGGTATAGCGCAGCTTTGTACCGCTAGTTTTTTTATTGTTTATTGTGTTTTGACTGCACTGAAGTTGTTGCATTTAATCTCATTATATTTGTGTATAGTGACAATAAAGGCATTCTGTTCTATTCTATTCTTTTATTTAGGGACATTTCTATGCACAAGTACAAAACACAATGCATAAAATAGTTCCTATGCACAAAATGCACAGATCTGTGTGTAAATACATTTATCATACCGTAACACTTTATTTATAGTGTGCTTTTAACATGGCATTACAACCGACCAAAGCGTTGCACATAATAAAACAACACAATCAGGCACAGGCCCTCCCTTGTGTGTCAGTTCAGGTTCATTAGCTGCATCTTGCCAACTGGTAACCCTGCAGCTAATACAGTTGCTGTTGCAGGTGATTTGTCCCATAATGTACTGCAGCATTGTGTACTGGATGACAGAGCAGCCGCCTGAAGCCCCTCGGTACCTGCTCTTCATCGCCCTGTCCATCTGCACCGCCCTGGTGGCCCAGTCCCTGGGCCTACTGGTTGGTGCTGCCTCCACGTCCCTCCAGGTATTGCTAGTTTGTAGTGGTTCTGTTGGACTTCATGTCTCATGCTGTCCGTGAACAACAGGTTGTGTCTTCTGTCCCACAGGTCGCTACATTTATAGGACCTGTCACAGCTATCCCTGTGCTGCTATTCTCTGGATTCTTTGTGAACTTTGACACGATCCCCAACTATCTGCAGTGGAGCTCATATGTATCTTATGTCAGGTGTGTTTACGATTATGTAGAATCTCAGTAGAACAATTCATCACCTGATGCTTTATTTCAATAAAGTTTGTTTATATTGCGCCAATTCACAACAAGAGTTGTCAAGTGGTCAGTAAGTCCTTCAGCAGTCTGTGAGGGATTTATCTCCTCACTAATAGTTATGTCTCTTGTTTCTGTTTAATCCTGTATTTCTGTGTGTGTTTTAGGTCAAATAAGCTTGGTAATCTATAAATTACTTTAAGTTAAGTTGATTTATTGGTGATCATCACTCCTTTCCTTCTGAGGTCATTTAAGTGTTGCCATGGAAGCGCGCCCATAGGCAGCCATGATCAGTTCCTGATGTGCTTAATCAGCTCCACTGAGGAAGAAACTAACTGACTGAAGAGAGAGGGGGGAGAGGAGGTTATCTTGTGTTTGTTTAAGTGTAGTTGTTGTTGTTTTTGTTCTTTTGAGTTAAGGTAGGAGGTAAATATGTAAATAGATTGTTTGAAATATTTGTTGAGATGTGCTTTATTGATTGTAGGATTTCAAGCTAATTGTTTCCCCTGCCCATGTCATAATGGTTGGTTCTAAGTTAGCTTTAAAATGGTGGATTCGGCACTGTTGTTGGTTGGTTGATTGCTTGTTAAGGGGAATCCATGCCCCAATGTCATGGATTGTTTGTGTTCAGAAAAAAAGGATAAAAAGTCAGAGCTCTGCAACATCCTGGACTCTTGCTTTTTCTTCTGTTGACAAACATCTGGTAACATCCTGAGGCAGAGGCTCTGTCTGGGCCAAAACCGTACAGTTGGTGGCAGAGGTGGGATGTGGCGCTGACATCAAGAGCTGTCCAGTAGGAGTAATCATGGGTCCAAAGCAGCAGTCAAAGAGCAGCAAGGCTGTTGAGGCGGAAGTGGTGGAGGAGATGGAGCAGGAAATGGCTACGGGGCGGCCGGCCGTAGCTACGCGCACCGGAGAGGAGTCCCCAGCTTCAGGGGATATGAGCTCTATTGTTGCCATGCTGCAAAAATGCCTACAGTCCCAAAGTGAGTTCACTGACATTTGGGACAAGAAAGCAATCAAGCAGGAAAGGAGATGGAGCCAAATTCAAGTTCAAGTGTATAACCTCCAAGATGACCTGGACGGGCAGCGGGGAAGTGAACATGATCCTCAGCCGGACCCTTCGTCTCAGTCAGATGGGGGCTCGAGTCCCTCACAGCCAGATGACAACCCCTCCAATGGTGAGCCAGCAGCAAGAGGATGGTCTCAGCCGGCGGTGCCAAAGCTGGAGGAGGGGAATGATATTGAACATAATCTGAAGACCTTTGAACAATTAGCAACGGCATACCTGTGGCCGGAAAGGGACTGGGCAGTGAGGCTGGTACCACATCTTCCAGGAAAAGCCCGCGCAGCATATGTGGCCATGGCTTCAGAGGACTTTTCTGAATATATCAGAGTAAAAGAGGCCATCTTAGGCCTAGTCCACACGTAGCCGGGTTTTTTTAAAAACGAATATCCGCCCCTCCAAAAACTTGCATCCACACCACCTCGTTTTAAAAACAAACTCTGTCCACACGTACCTGGATAAATGCGTTGTTAAGAACATGCCAGACCTGTAGGCGGCAGTACTTCCCCCGTTCTTAACCTCGTCCTTCCTCTGTGGTCTTCCGCAAGGAGCAGTAATTCCGCTTGCAAAAACAAACAAGCAAAAAGCGCTTGGACAACTGATAAAGCCAGCGCAGCTCTGAGGGCATCCATGCTGTCGGCTAATGTAAACACAGGTCGCACACGTGATGTCAGCATTTTTTTTTTTTGTCGCGGAAAGTGACGTTGCAGACCTTAAAACTCCGGTTTTGTCCGTCCACATGCAGACACCCAAAACGGAGAAAACGCAGATCTTCACTTTAGCCGGAGTTTTTTAAAAGATCCGTTTTCGTGTGAAAAAACTCCGTTTTCGTGTGGATGACAGGCCAAAACGTAGAAAAATATCTACGTTTTGGCAGATCCCCTGCTACGTGTGGACAGGGCCTTAAAGTATGATCACACTTCAGTTGTTCTCAAAATGGCATCTGAGTGATCATACTGCTTCAGTTTTTATAGAACATATAAATATGTCAACAAGTCTGACTAATCATGTTTATTCACTTCTACATCATTTGAACTGTAAAACTTGAGAAGTCCTTGACGCCATTACCCAATGCAGATGCAGGCAAAACATTTGTGTTGGTGATGTTCAATCTCAGAGCAGCTGTTGACACTGGGGACCACAACTCCCTTCTTGATAGGCTCATAAACTGGGTGGGACTATCAAGCATAACATGAGGGGTCCCCCAAGGCTCAATTCTTGGATCACTGCTCTTCAGTAGCTCTTCTTACAAGAGTAGACACACCGTGCTGGTGTAATATTACAGCAACGGTGTGTCTTATAAACGCGCCATGCCAGCATGACGACGTATGAATTTTGCAGCAGTCATTCCGCCTTGCTTGGTAGTAATATTGCGGTAATGGTCTGTCTAATAAACGGCTATTGTGCCGTGGCGCAACAGAGGGAGGTATCATGATGACATGGGAAGTTAATGCCGAGAAATATATTGAATATGAAAGTAAACACGGGCCGTAGGTTTTGCTTTTGAACAAAATCAGCTTAGACGGCAAACAGGAGCGCTGCAGCGCTCCATGAGTGTCTCTGTTAGAGCTGAAGCTCAGATCATCAGAGACTGCACAGGGACTGATGGGGACAGACATCTTTAGGAGCGGCTTGTTAAAAAAATTTAACAATCGCGGTTCAATCGCAATAAAAAGCAAGTTATGTCCAAGACCAACGGAAGTCTGCGGCAGCGCAGAGACCACCCTCATACCCCCTTTATGCCGCCATCGCCTAATCTTTTATAAAAAGGACACGATTGCACCACATTGCCGCCACGGTCTGACCACTTATAAATGACCTAAGGGTCCCAGTGCTGCCACAGCGTTGTGAAAAATTGACGCCATTGTTTTGTAAAAACAGCTAATCTCTACATGCTGTCCTCGGGTCAGGTTGTGCACTATAACAGCATTGCCTATCATTGTTATGCAGATGATACCCAGATCTAAGAGAGTGCTTGGGAACCACGTGGTGGTTTATCCCCCCAATCCAACCCCTTAATGCTGAATATCAAGCAGAGAGGCATTGGGTCCCATTTTTTCAAAGTATGACCCCAACCAGGATTTGAACCCTCGTCTCCCTGGGCCGACACTCATATCAATTTATTTCTGTATTTAGTTGATTCTAAATTTAAACTTGATTTTAAAATCTGCTGTTTTATGTTGTCACGTTGATTTTAATGTTTCATGTTCCTGTTGATCATGCTTCTGGTGAGCACACTGAATTTCTCCCGTATGTGAAATGTGCTATACAAATAAAGCTGCTGAGTGTTTTAAACTGACCGTTTAACATTAACCCTCAAATCTGTGTCAAAATGATTGGAAACATTTGAACGGTGCCTAAGAGTGAAGATGGACTTCTGTTTTCCAGGTACAGCTTTGAAGGTGTGATCCTGTCGATCTACGGGATGAACCGCTCAGAGCTGGAGTGTCCAGGGAAGGTGTGTAAGTTCCAGAAGCCTGAAGAGGTTCTTCAGCTCTTAGATGTAGAAGATGCAAAGCTTCACGTCGATTTCATTGTTCTGGGTGTTTTCTTCATCATCCTACGACTGGCCACCTATCTGGTCCTCCGCTATAAGGTCAAGTCTGAGAGATAAGCTTTGCGTTCCTTGAGGATGTCTATCACACTCATTGCTGCTACACAACTCAGATCTTGATTCTGCTCCTCCAGCAAACTGCGATGGTATGGACCATAATATGTTAATGTCATAAATCACCACCTTCAGTCTTACCTCGTTTTGGCGTGTTGTCTGCAGATTCAGTATTTATCTGCATACAGGCTTCTCTTCACTAGGCTGACGTTTGTCGGAGGTTTGGGACTTTGTAATTTTCTACTTGGTACTTTGTGTGACCAATCATACGTTTACATCTGCCCTATAGACACAAAATATAACTGTTACATAAATGTGATTTACTGTGTCTCCTAACTCAAAGTTGAAAAAGACAAAACCTAAGATGTATTTATAATTTGGGCACTAAAGTTTAGGAAAACAAGCAGTTTGTACCTCAATAAAACAACCGAAGATGTTTATAATCTGATTCACCATAACATCTGTTCAGCTGCATAATGTCCTGTAGAATCCATGTTATTCTAAATATATACATGCAGTTCCAGTTTTACTTTGTGTTTAGTGTCTACTGCAGTCACGTTTGGTGCTATTCGAAATGTTGACTAAAAATGTACATGTATGAATGTGAAACTTCTTTATTGTTCTAACAGCATGTGGTATTAACATTTCAGTGCACTGATTTAGTAGATTTATTAAATGTGAAATTAAAAACTTTATTCAGTGAAATGTCAGAAAGATAAGCAGATTGGTACTCATTGGTCTCACTTTTCCTCATCACCATGGCTATGTTCATAATAATAATAATAATAATTATTATTATTATTATTATTATTATTATTATTATTATTATTATTATTATTATTATTATTATTATTATCATAAACATTATCATTATTATTATTATTGTTGTTGTTGTTATTAAGGGTAGCGCAGTGGTTAGAGCTGTTGCCTTGCAGCAAGAAGGTCCTGGGTTCGCTTACCGGCCTGGGATCTTTCTGCATGGAGTTAGCATGTTCTCCCTGTGCATGCGTGGGTTCTCTCCAGGTACTCTGGCTTCCTCCCACAGTCCGAAAACATGCTGTTAGGTTGATTGGTCTGTCTAAATTGTCCTTAGGTGTATGTGTGTGTGTACATGATTGTCTGTCCTGTGTGTCTCTGTGTTGCCCTGCAATGGACTAGCTCTCTGTCCAGGGTGTATCCCGCCTGATTGCCCATTGACCGCTGGAGATAGCCCCCCCCCCCCCCCCCCCCCCCCCCAACCACCACCACCACCACCCACCCGCGGCCCCACATGGACAAGCGGGGTCAGAAAATGGATGGATGGATTATTATTATTGTTATTGTTGTAGTAGCAGCAGGAGTAGCGGTGGTAGTAGTAGTGCTGTTTATTACATAACCCTCATTGCTCTAAAGAAAAGAAGGACTTTTTGTTGCTTTTTTCTTGGTTTATGAATTAAAGTGTTATTTAGGAGTGTTCAGTTATTTTAATTGGTATCTTTACCACTAATTTTGATTATGTGACATGCTGAACTGTAAAAGGTATGTAGGAGTTTGTAAACTGGTCTTCCAATAAACTCATTCAGTGACGACCTGGAAAATTGGGTGAATTTATTTACCTGGAAAACCTTGGAATACCCCACAGAAAGAAGTGCAGCTAACAGTCTGTCAGTTTGAGTCAAAAGAAGGTGAACAACTGAATTACTGAGTCTTTTTTTTATCTTTTTTATTTGTTAAATTTCTGTTTGTGAAGCATCTCATTAATTTGTCTTGAGAGTTGCTATATAAAAGATTGTTTTCTTTCTTTCTTTCTTTATAAATAAATAATTGTTGAGTATTGTAAAAGTAAATGATTAGAACTAACATGACAACTTTGCAACCTTTAAATAGAATTTTATTATCATATTTCTTATCCGTATGCATCCTGAAAATGGCCTGATTTGGGGCAAATAAGTAACAGGTTTTATCTGAACATGTTAAAGACAAATGTTTTAACCCTCCCACTCTCTTTATGGGTGACCCCACGAGGAAAGTTGACCATTGAGCAGGATTGATGGTTTATCCCTTGAGGTCCATGTGGCAGGGGTGAGGAGTGAGCACCACCTAACCCCTGCCACGTGGACCTCAAGGGATAAACCATCAATCCTGCTCAATGGTCAACTTTCCTCGCGGGGTCACCCATTAGGACAGCGGGAGGGTTAAAGTCAGTGTGTCAGGATTATTGTCTCTGCTCCCTGGTTCCTAATGACGGGTCACATTCCCGCTTTTTAACCCAACAGCATCACAGTTTAAGCCCAACTAAATGTTTATGAGCATCTCTGTTGATGCTCAAGAGCAGAATTGGGTTTTTTTATAATTAATTCTGTAGGCTCATGAAAACTCACAACACTGCAGTGTTATGGAAAAACATTATTGCATTTAAGTGGTTGGACTTTGCCAAAATATGCATAACAAAAGTAAGGTAGAGGTATAATAACTCAAATTATAAACTAAACAAACAATATGTGTTATTTTTATTAAAACATTGCATAGAGAACTCTGTATGCTCCCTAAGAGTCCATTCTGTTAAGGAAAGAAAATCATAAATTTATTTTGTGAAAATGAAAACAATGATGCAGAGGCCTTCTTCAGTAATTTATGTACATTATATTTATTATAAATAAAGTTGAAAAAGATGCCAGTCTGGGGATTATTGTTTTACTGGACAACACCTGGGGCAGCTAAGATTGTGTCCCGTAGCCTAAAATAAATTATGTTGGAATGAAAGTCACTCCAGTAGCTCAGAGTACACGTCTGGCCTACAAAATAATTTGTTAGAGACTATTACTCTAAAACTAAAATCAAATATCTTTGTTGACTAAAACCTTTTTGAATTTTAGTCAACTAAAGCTGACTAAAACTAAAATGCATTTTTGTCATAAAGTCTAAGACTTGCTGACCAACGCTCACTTCATATGGCATGGAGCTCTACGGGACAGGGGCGGGCTTAGCAGGGGAAAAGACATATTTCCTACATTATATCGCAATACACAATACCAAATTTGTTTTATGGATTTCTGTAAAATCATTCATTATTCCTTAAAAGGGAAAACTCTGGATAGCAACTTTAAACAGATCGAATGTGTAGTTCCAATTTTCTGCCAGCAGAGGAAGACCATTACCTGAGTTTGTAGGCTTATATGGCTCCATCTCCTCCTCCTCTACCTGCTTCGATATTAAAATGCATAGGACAGAAACAAGAGTTGTGGTTTTAATTCCAGCTTAATTTATAAAATGATGCTAAAATGTTCTCTTAAATGACCAAAATACCAGTTCCCCTTCTCACGAACAGCGCCGGTGAGGAAGATGAATGTACCCATAATTTTACTCCTCATTGTGCCACCTTGTGGAATAATCGAGTAATTGTTTCAAACAGAATGTCTTTGTTTAACCAGCAGTGGTTTGATCAAGGAATTATCTTTGTACACGATATTATGGATAAAGATGGTGAAATATTACAGCTACAGAATTTTAAATACAAATTTAATAACATTCAATGTTCTCTCCAGGAATATGAGAAAGTATGTAAGACTATTCCAGTGACTTTGATACAAATGATAAAAAACACAATCCTCTTCTCTAATGTTCAAACAAAACTTCCTAATTTATTAATAGGAGAATTGAACATCACAGAAAGAAAATATGAAAATAAATTTTAAATGGAGCCTTTAAAAAATATCTATCATGATTATGATGAAGATTAAACTAAAAATATTAGGAAATCCAATAATTGAAGGAAAACAATTAAAATTTCTAAAATGGCCTATGATGCCAAAAGTAAAAGAAACGCAATTTAAAATTCTTAACAACTACTATCCATCAGCAGAGACACTGAGGAAGAGATTTGGTTTTGAAGTTGACCCTTGTGAATTCTGTAAGGGAAGCCCTGAAGAAATAGAACACTTATTTTTCAGCTGTCCTGTCAGTAAGAAGTTTTAGGAAGAAGTCCATTGTTGGTTAAGAAATAAAATAAGAGAACTTGATCGTTTTACAAATGAAGATATTCTTAAATACAATTCTAAATTAAATGGGAATAATTCATTGTTAATATTATTATTATTATTATGGGTAAATACCACATCCACAAAAGCAAATGGTAAAAAAGCAACTGCCAAACATGAACTGTTTCAAAAATGAATTCCGTATGTTCTTATTCACTTTGATTCGTACAAAAAATTCCAATGTAACTGCAAAAGCCATTTGTCATGCTGAAGAAAATTGTTTAATATTGAAACACTGTTTTTACTTTGTGATATAAGTGCCTCTTTTTAAGTTTCTTATTTGTTTTTCTTTTATCCTTAGTACCAACTAAGGATGCCTCGCATGTTTCCATTATGTGTTGTTGTCTCCACGAGAATTGTAGTACGCATATATTGATAATAAAATAAAAAAAACAGCGCGGGTGAGGGATCTAGCTAATATATATATATGTGCATAAACGAACGCTCGGCCAGCGTATGCACGTCAATCACGTGACCAAGCCTAAGCGTCGGGTCTGCATCTTCTTTCCTAGTCCTTTAATACGTCACTGCTACCTGCCAGCGTCTGCACGTCAATCACGTGACCAAGCCTAAGCGTCGGGTCTGCTTTAATACGTCACTGCTATACCTTTTGGCTCATTTCAGCCTTGTGGTTGGTCGGCGTTGCACCTCGGATACCGGCTGGGGAAACAAACTTTTCAAAGGAGTTTCGTGTTTTTCTGGATTATTTCACTTCTGATAACTAGCAGTTTAACCTCAGGTGAGTTTTTTTAAAGCAGAAATTCAGCTTTTTTCTAAAGAAACTCAAAAGTTCTTTATGTCTGAGGAGCCCAGTAACCTGAGACTTGTGACTGAATTCAGTTTATCCACTGTCAGCCATTCAGTTAAACAGCCAGTCCAGGAATCCAGAATGAACGAATATACTAGAATTCAAGCCTTAAACGAGAACATCAGTAGGGAGCGTGAAGGATTTGAGGAAATCCCGTTTCACCAAGTCATATCTGAGCCCAGTACTCAGAGCCTTGACACTGAATTCATGTTTCCCTCTGTCAGTGATGCAGTTAAACAGCAAATCCAAGAAGCCAGGATGAAGGACAATTCTATTATTCAAGGATTAAAGTTTAAACTCACAGCTCTGATTCAAGGGCTTGAAGAACAAATGTTTAAACTTCAAAAAGATCGAGAAGATTTTGAAATCAGCAAAGTTAGATCAATTGAGGAAATAGAGGGTATGAAATATTGTCTACTGGAGCAGAGAAAATACTTTGAAGAGGAAAGATCTCTATCAGAGTACGAGATCAATGAAATTCAGACTTTTCAACAACATGAAAGAGAAATGATTGAACATTTGAAATACAATTTAGCAGTTCAGAGCAACGACCTGCAGGAAGAAAAAGTAAGCTTACAAGAGGAATGGCATCATCTCGAGCAGGCAAAGCTCCAAATGAAAGCGGTTTATGAAAACCTACAGGAGGAAAATGAGAAACTGAAGACACACATAAAGGATATCGAGAGAGCCAAAGCAGACGCTGATAGAGAGATTGAAAACATGAAAATTCAACTCGAAGCAGATAAAACGTTGTTTGAACAGACGAAGAAAAGCTCCGAGCTGGAGTTTGTAACTATGAGAGAAGCTTTGGATGATGAGAAACGTCAGCTTGACTGTGAGAAAACAGAGTTTGAGAAAACAAAGACTGAATCACAGCAGGAGATAAGAGACACCATTCAAATGCTGAATGATGAGAAAATGGATCTAGAAATTAGAATTGGACATCTACACAAAGAAAAATCTGAGTTTGAACAGAAAAAGGCTGAAGCTGAACGGGAGATAGAAGACACCATTCAAATGCTGGGTAAGGAGAAAATGTATATAGAATTTAGTACTGGACGTCTAAACGAAGAGATATGCGAGCTGAAAGCCAGATACCAGCTCGTGAACAAGCAGGAGGCTACTCTTGAGGAGAAAAAGCAGGAACTTCAGGAACAAACTATTAAACAAAACGATGAGAAAAAGAAACTAGAGGAAACAAAAATCAAATTGGATCAGGTCTACGACAAACTGCTGAAAGGTAAAGCTAAACTGAAGAAAAACATCCAAAAGTTTAAGACTAACAAAGCAGAAATGCAGCAGATGATGGGAAGTCTAGAAGAACAGAAAAAGGTGTTCGACGAGACAAAGAAAAGCTCTGAGCAGGATTTAATAAATATGAGAAAAGCTCTGGATGATGAGAAACTTCTGCTTGAAGCTAGTAAAGAAAACCTAAATATGCAGAGAACTGCGTTCGAACAGAAAAAGGCTGAAGCTGAACGGGAGATAGAAGACACCATTCAAATGCTGGGTAAGGAGAAAATGTATATAGAATTTAGTACTGGACGTCTAAACGAAGAGATATGCGAGCTGAAAGCCAGATACCAGCTCGTGAACAAGCAGGAGGCTACTCTTGAGGAGGAAAAGCGGGAACTTCAGGAACAAACTATTAAACAAAACGATGAGAAAAAGAAACTAGAGGAAACAAAAATCAAATTGGATCAGGTCTACGACAAACTGCTGAAAGGTAAAGCTAAACTGAAGAAAAACATCCAGAAGTTTAAGACTAACAAAGCAGAAATGTAGCAGATGATGGGAAGTCTAGAAGAACAGAAAAAGGTGTTCGACGAGACAAAGAAAAGCTCTGAGCAGTAGATCAGAAACATGAGCTATTCATGGAGACAGAGCAGCTGGTGAGTGAATTGAAATGCAAAGCAAATTACTGAATTAATTTAGCTGCACACAGGCTGCTTTACACAGCAGCTCTTGGTTCAGCAGGTTACGTCTAAGGTACCCTAACCCTTAAGCCGGGCGTACACTGTGCGACTTTTTCACTTTTTGAGCCGATTTTCCACTCGTGCGAGAATCCACAAGATTGGGGTGAGTTTGGCGCCGAGCGTGGTGTAGTGTACAGGGGGTTACGAGAGGCGATTAACACCACGTGACCAGCTACCGATCAGCAATCGTGAGCTCGCACGGACTTCTGGCGTTGTGGTGGCCATTTCAGTAAAGTAGCATAAATCTGTTAGTTGTAAATTTCTTTTAGAATTTCTTATCATTCCTTTTCTAATAAGTTAAGTTTGCAATTTAAATGTGTTAATTTTAATTTTTTGGTAAATTGATGTATTTGTGAACTTTTTGGACACGCCTTAGTCATTAAGCTGATTAGTAGCACATGGGGAGGCGTGTGGAAAATGTTTGTTTGCCAAGTGTCAGGGGAGATGGGAGGATTTGGTTAAATGATTTTTTGACTATTTTTTAGACCTGATAATTTAAGGTTAATTTTCGTTGGATGAAAAGTAGAACATTTTGAATGAATTTTGAACTTTTTTTTTTTTGGAAGAATGAACCATTTATAAAATTTGAAAGAAATCAAGTCAAAAAGTGCGTCTGGTAGCAACACGTCGGACCTAAAAATATGCTAAAAATAGCAGTTTTTACTCAACACGTTAGACGTTTTTGTCTTGTTTTGCCTGTTGTCCTTCGGGAGTGCTGCAGGAGGACACACAGGGTTTTATGGGGGTTGGATGAGGAAAACGAAATAAAGAAAGTAAATCTTTGTTTTGTGATCAGTTTAATTTGACATGAACACGACAAACACGCTTTCTTGACCATCTCTGTGAGTAAAAAAACGTGTAGAAATTAAAACGAACAACGTGTGTTATTAGGGAAATAGCGGGCGAGCGGTGTTGATGCAGGATTGCGCATGCGCCGTGAGCGGTTCTGATACTTTTTGGGTCGCAGCTGCTCGCAGCGCCGCTTCAACAGTAAGATACCCTCATGAGGGACGAGCAAAATATTAAACACGCCAGAAGTCCATGCGAGCTCACGATTGCTGATCGGTAGCTGGTCACGTGGTGTTAAGCGCCTCTCGTAACCCCCTGTACACTACACGACGCTCAGCGCAAAACTCGCCTCGATCTCGTGGATTCTCGCACGAGTGGAAAATCGGCTCAAAAAAGTGAAAAAGTCGCACAGTGTACGCCCGGCTTTAGATAGAAAACGTTTACATTTGATTAATAAATTAATAAAAATGACATAAAATAAAAAAATACATTAAAAAAAAACTAACTCTGCCAGAGTGTCCCTTTTGGGTCAAGTCTGCCAGTCCCAAGCCTGGATAAAAGAGGAGGGGTTTGATTTGTGACACAAAACAAAAACATGTTTTTATTTCACACTTTTTGTCTCCCACATGAGAGTATTCTTCTAGGGAGCCTGAGTGTCCTCCCTTTCCAGTCGGCTCATGAGTTCCCAGGAAGAATGAAAGCAAGTGAACGGGGCTAAAAGACATTTCCTAATCCGCTTTGCCTAATGCCCTGAGTCACACACACGTCATACTTCAATTTAAATGAAAAGTAGGATGTGTGTTTCGACCATGCCATAAAACTTGAGATTTGGTAAGTAGCAGCTAAGCTAGGGGAGAGGAGATTCTGTGGTGATGTCATACATGCGACGCACCGACATTTGATTTGCAGTCATGCTATTGACGAAATTTATTGAGCTACTCTCAAAGTACGTGACTGGCGTGGTCGAAACACACTTCATTACTTTTCATTTAAATTGCAGTATATAACACATGTGCGATTCAGGTAAAGTGGATTAGAAAATAGCTCTTTTAGCCCCGTTGACTTGCATCCATTTTTTCATTCTTCCGGTGAACCGTGAGCCGACCGGAAAGGGAGGAGACTTAGGCTCCCTACATGACACACGGCCACTAATGCTAGGTTATTATATAGTTTAGGCATCATTTTCATGTTGTAATTTCTAATAACTAGATAATTCCTGAAGATATTTTAAAAGCAACCTGCCATCTGACACTGAGACATTTTATTGTGGTGTTTTAAAGTGCACCTCGACCCACCCCCTTCGATGACATAATTGAATGAATAATTAACTAACTAATTCATTAAATGGCAGGCCAATTAGAGAGGTATTCTTGCTGTGTTTTTCACTAAATACATTACTAAATGAATCTTGGGGTGACGTTGGAGTGATACATCACACTTCCAAGACCGAGACGTTGTTTTCGTGTGTCTTATGTAGGGGTGCAGTACTCTGCTTTCTTTTGAATTATTTGACAATAATCACTAATTTCGTAACTAATGAGTTGGTAAAACAAATCGCGTTAGAAACTGCTTCCAAAAGAAGCACATTTCATTACCATTACGTTACAGTATTTTTTCTTGGGTTGTGTGAATCTAAAGTCTCAATGAGACACGCATCTGTATTTTACGCAGACTGGTGCCTGGGTGCTAATCCTGATCCCTTTGTTTATTTAGTCACTGGAGCTGGCTGCACATGTCCTCAGATGCATTTTTCAAGAATATTTTTAGTTTATGGGGGTGTGACGACTCTACTCTCTTATTCTTTATGATAGGACCTGTTTGAAAGCGAGATGTCACAGCCATCTCAAGCAGTTTTAATCTCGATAGGTAACATCCGCCGATATTGATGCATCCCTAATTTTTAGACATTATTTTTTCAGCAATTGTGTTTTTGACAGACAGCACGCTCAAATGGTGGCGGTGGCAGCCTGAAGTGTTTCCATCCAGTTGACCTAAATGGTACATACAATCAAATAAACAGATTACAATTAAAATTTAGTCAAAGATCAAAGGTAAGAAAGATCAAAGGTAAAAAGAAGTTACTGGTTACTTTTGGTATTTGATTTTTTATGTGTTTGAGTTATTTTCATTCATTGTGATCCAAATACATTAATGCTGTCCAGTTTAACACTGGTGGTCGCCGATACACATGGACACTGGGCTGAGTCTGCTCCTTAATGGTGAATGGCTGCAGTGGGTGGCCATCCACGGCCGTGATGCGAATGTGACAGGTGACACATGAATACATCCACAAAGTGCTTCCCAGAGAAAATTGTCTTTCTTTTTCGAATGGGATGTATTTTTTAGGAGCTTTTGCTGATTGTCCCTTTTGGAAGACGCTTGTGCTGATAAACAGGGTGTTGCTCATATGTAAAAGGGTGTGGACCACTTTTAGAAGCCTGACCAGGAACCCCTTCCTCTTTGTAGCAAATGCCCCTTTCATTCTACTACATTTAATCACATTTCAGATTGAAAGCTGATGCATGTAAAATGACACCTAAGATCTTTAGTATAAACGTCTTCATGTTTTGTGCTTTATGTTTTGACAGGTAGAAAATTTCTGGTCCATATTAAATAGTTTAAGTTAGTTTGCAGCTGCTGTGAGTGGGCCGACTCTCTTCAGGCAGGCTGTTGTAGAATATAACAAGTAACACACTTCTTCCATTAATTAAAGTCTGCTTTAAATGGTTAGTGAACTAATTAATTTTTCTAGCCATTGAATTCAGAACATTTAGTTGGTAAGTATACAATGATCTAATATTTATAAATTGCAGAACTAGATGTTTTTGTTAGAAAGATATAAAATATTGTTGTGTTTTAATTTTTAGGAGAGATGATGATTTACAAACTTTTTTATCTATCCAAATATTATGTATCAAAGTCTTTACTTTAGTATACCTTCCTGCTTTTATGTTTATGTCAAACGTAAGCTATTATTGTAACATTCAACCACTAAAAACAACAAATAAAAGAAAACTTGTATTTCCAGAACTATGCAGCATAAGGGACACAGACGTAATAATGTACATCCGGTATTGCACATATATTGAACACATACTTAATATTGCAGCCAGGTGTAAATAAAAATAAAGGTGTATAATGCAATCTTAAAGCTGTTATAGCAAATCTGCAAATAGGCTACGTAATGAATGCAACTCTGTCATGGAACACTCACTCCTCCCCTCGGACATGTTTCCTTAGATGCTTTTGCCGGAACTGGAAACTCACATGTTTAACGTGATGAAGGAACTGTTTCCACCAAGGATTTTACCTCTTTCCACAGTTGCCTCTGACACAGTGCTAGAGTGCATGAGACAGCCTCAAGGTCTGGGTTTGTCCTTTTTACTGTACAGCACTTTGGTCAGCTGTCATGCTGTTTTTAAATGTGCTATATAAATAAACATGGTATGGTATGGTATGGTATAGGTCATGCATTTGCTTCTAAACTGTTTACTTTCCAGCAAGAGAAGAAAGAAGATTAAAAGACTCTTTTCTTTTATTAAAACAAAGAACTCTATTTTTAATTAAGCTAATCAAAACAACTGTTAGTCAATAATACAATGTGACCGATCTGTGAAATCACAATGTTATGATTAATATGTTTTAATAAGTGAATGACTTAATCTAGTTCACTAGTCACACTGACACACGTAATGAAAACACATGACACATTGGTACTGATCCAATCAGAACCTTCCTAGTCTGAAGCGTGGCATAGTCTCTGTGGTGCTTATAAATCTGCCAGCTTTGATTCAACCAGAATTCAAAACATCCAGATTAATAAAACTAGTTCTAACGCCATCTTAGTTCAGTTCTCAAGATCTCACTGAGTTCACCGCATGCTAAGCGAAGTATCGGACCGGCCATCTGTACTTCCCTTTAAAAGCTGAGAACCACCAAGCTGGAAAAATCTGTTGTTTTTACCAACCAAGCAACGGTTCCTTTCAGAATTAAAGCTGAACTCGCTGACCCAAGGAGGGTCCCCTTTTGACGCTGTGAACCACCTGTCGCTTTTTACCTGGAGACAATCCAAGGACTAGTTTGTCGTGCTGTGACGCTGTACCACTGGCTCCAGTACCGAAAGGAAGGTCCGTGAACCTGACATTCTGGGTCCATCATTGGAGGTCTTGTTAAGACCCCAACCTGGTCTAGGAGCCAGGGAGGTCTAACACAGAAACGTGAGAAATTAAAGGAAACAATCTGACACCAAGTCACTATCAAAGAAAGTCCTTTTATTAACTAAAGCGTCCCAACGGGAGGAAACCCTGTTTAACCAAAAAGGGGAGTTTAACTTATGCTGCAGGAGACAAATGTTGATGGCTTAAAATAACTTCAAGAGTGATTAAATGAGAACTAAAACTCACTGGTTCCAAAAGTGAAATCAGGAACAACAGAAACTTGCCCGGAGGCCTTACCAAAAAGTCCACTGGTGACTAACTCACCCACACAACCGACAGCTCTGTTAAGAGCTAAGGGGAAAACGACCAGCCTGAATGTTTTCCCAAGCAGGAGGACATTAACCATCCGGGGGAAACTATGAGTTCCCACAAGTTCTCAAACAAAAGTCTCTCTTTGATCCTCTCCTCTCTGTGTGTCCTCTCTCTGTGCATTCTCCTCTCGCTCTGCTTTCTCCCTTCTCTCCCTTCCCTCTCTGTGCGTCCCTTTGTCTCCGCTCGCTATGCCTCTTCTGCCTCTCCTTCTCTGAGCAGCGCTGATCTTTATCCGCTCCAGCTGGGTGATTTCTGATAAGCGTCAGCTGCGTGAGTGAAGCCAGGGAGCGGGGCGCTCTTCATGTCCTGGAAATGGTGCAGGAAACGGTGCAGAGTAGAAACTGAGTGCCGGGGAACTCAGGGTTCGTAACAGGTCTCCCTGAGGGTATGTGTGGATGCGACAAAATGGCGTCTCACGTGTTTATGACTACTCCGGTCAAACTCTTATCAGTTAGAAGCAAAACATCATCCCACTCAGACTTGCTTCTCCGGATACGAGAGTTCTGAATAACACTCATTCACACACACCATCTATCTCACACCTCATTCAAACAGAACATCCATCATTAGAGAGTTAGTATTGTTAAATTGTTTAAAATTATTTAGTAATAAATCATCTTAAACGTTTGAAGGACTCTCTCTCTTCTCTTGTCTCTCAGTTAATACAAAGTGTTATCTAATCCCTGCATTAAAAAGTTCCAATCTTCTGATTAAATAACCCAGTGGTCCGTACGATGGATTTCATACTCGATATGAAATCTTAACGTCTCACGGTCCTTAATTAAATTTAAATTACTATCATTACACAATGGTGAGCCATTGCCCGATATTTGCAAATTTTTGGACACTTTGTGCTAAGTCTAAGACGTATTTAAACAGTATTTAAAACTTCTAATGAAAAATTTGATGTTTCTGGTTGAAAACG